GCAAACATGATTGATTCATTTAGAAAATAAATACAAAATACTCTTAATGAATTATTTCTGTGTGTGCTCACATTAAGATAAATTGTTGTATAAATTTCTTATCTTAATTTATAAACTACAGACAATAATCATAATAAAAATGCCGCACTAAATCAAACCGACGATCGCGATCGCGCTGGCCTGCAAACATTTATGGATAACTTGTCATACAAATCATTATTTTCAAATGTTTTTTTCCTTCTTCTTTAAGCTGCAGTCGTAGCAATTTCATATTTTTCTATAAATATATTTTCTTACATTCATTTTAAATCTTGTACGTATTTGATGACAACTACTAATGACAGCACATTTTAGTTGACATTTTTTTTAAAGAGCCATAATTCATAAACACACCTGCCCGCTTAATACTAAATAATGTGGAAGTACCACGATCATACACAGAAAAAAAAAAAAAAAATACTTTGTTAAGAATTTATTTCAGACTGAACGACTGACGATCGAACCACAAATTTCTATAGAAAATTTTCTTATGATTAGCTATAGTTTTCTATAGAAAATTTGCTGATGATCAACTATAGTTTTCTATAGCAAATTTGCTGATGATCAGCTATAGTTTTCTATAGAAAATTTGCTGATGATCAGCTATAGTTTTCTATAGAAAATTTGCTGATGATCAGCTATAGTTTTCTATAGAAAATTTGCTAATGATCAGCTATAGTTTTCTATAGAAAATTTGCTAATGATCAGCTATAGTTTTCTATAGAAAATTTGCTAATGATCAGCTATAGTTTTCTATAGAAAATTTGCTGATGATTAGCTATAGTTTTCTATAGAAAATTTGCTGATGATCAGCTATAGTTTTCTATAGAAAATTTGCTGATGATCAGCTATAGTTTTCTCTAGAAAATTTGCTGATGATCAGTTACAGTTTTCTATAGAAAATTTGCTGATGATCAGTTACAGTTTTCTATAGAAAATTTTCTGATGATCAGTTACAGTTTTCTATAGAAAATTTGCTGATGATCAGTTACAGTTTTCTATAGAAAATTTGCTGATGATCAGTTACAGTTTTCTATAGAAAATTTGCTGATGATCAGCTATAGTTTTCTATAGAAAATTTGCTAATGATCAGCTATAGTTTTCTATAGAAAATTTGCTGATGATCAGCTACAGTTTTCTATAGAAAATTTGCTGAAGATCAGCTTTAGTTTTCTATAGAAAATTTGCTGATGATCAGTTATAGTTTTCTATAGAAAATTTGCTGATGATCAGCTATAGTTTTCTATAGAAAATTTGCTGATGATCAGCTATAGTTTTCTATAGAAAATTTGCTAATGATCAACTATAGTTTTCTATAGAAAATTTGCTGTTGATCAGCTATAGTTTTCTATAGAAAATTTGCTGATGATCAGCTATAGTTTTCTATAGAAAATTTGCTAATGATCAGCTATAGTTTTCTATAGAAAATTTGCTAATGATCAGCTATAGTTTTCTATAGAAAATTTGTTGATGATCAGCTATAGTTTTCTATAGAAAATTTGCTGATGATCAGCTATAGTTTTCTATAGAAAATTTGCTGATGATCAGCTATAGTTTTCTATAGAAAATTTGCTGATGATCAGCTATAGTTTTCTATAGAAAATTTGCTGATGATCAGCTATAGTTTTCTATAGAAAATTTGCTGATGATCAGCTATAGTTTTCTATAGAAAATTTGCTGATGATCAGCTATAGTTTTCTATAGAAAATTTGCTGATGATCAGCTATAGTTTTCTATAGAAAATTTGCTGATGATCAGCTATAGTTTTCTATAGAAAATTTGCTGATGATCATCTATAGTTTTCTATAGAAAATTTGCTAATGATCAGCTATAGCTTTCTATAGAAAATTTGCTGATGATCAGCTATAGTTTTCTATAGAAAATTTGCTGATGATCAGCTTTAGTTTTTTATAGAAAATTTGCTAAGTTTTCTATAGAATATTTGCTGATGATATGCTATAGTTTTCTATAGAAAATTTGCTGATGATCAGCTATAGTTTTCTATAGAAAATTTGCTGATGATCAGCTATAGTTTTCTATCGAAAATTTGCTGATGATAAGCCACAGTTTTCAGTAAAAAGCATTACAATCAGTCAGACTATAGACTTGTCAATTGGTCATACTTTTATTCAGACTATAGTTATTTAGTTATTTCAGACTATTGATCAGTCTATATTGCTTTGGGTTTGCTAGTATATTGTTTAGATTATACTTATGTTGAGTGTATTGACATTTAAATTGTAGATTTTTATCCAGCTGTCAATGGTCGTAAATGTCAACGAATTGAAAGTATTTAAATAAATACTAATCAATTAATGAAGAGGAAAAACTTGATTGTTTACATATTTTTTGATTGATACGTGTTTTGAATTAAAAATCGAACTTGGCAGCACTAAAAACTGAATAGATGATATTGATATAGTGTTGTCAACTAACAATGACTTTACATTGACAAACACTTGTTATTAGACAAGATGTTAATATATTTTTACTAATGACGTTAAATAACTAAAAACTTCTAATAATTCCAAATATTTTCTCAGTGTATTAATCCAATATTAGTTGCCAGCCTATACGTTTACCTACAATCTCTTATGCCCAACTACTTATGTTACTCATTGTAAAAGCCTAAACGTCAACAAGTTCGAAATCCACCACAAATGTTTAAAATCATAATAATTTCAGATATTATAACTTACAATCGTTATGGTTAGTAGAATTTTTGAAATTCATAATGCTTAATAATGTCATAAAATAATGTGCACAAATATGTTTTTATTATTGCCAACTTAAAGTCGAGGAAAAAAAAATCAAATATTTAATGAATAAAATGCAATAAATATTGCTATATGTTGTTCAACTTGTTATGCGATTCTTAAGGATTAAAGACAAGATTTGTTTGAATTTTTATTTCTATAAAAAGTGGTTTTCTAACCAAAATTAATTAATTTATTGCAAAGCTAACTAACAAAATTAAACAACATGAAAATATAGAAAATTTTGACATTTAATTTGAGAAACTGAAATAAAATAAATTAGAAAAAAAAACTAATCTGAATTAAATATGTTTAAATTAAGCACAAGATTTGTCCTTCACAATTAATTGAAAAAAGCAAATTGCAATTAAAAATATTTATACTGATCATCAGCAAATTTTCTATAGAAAACCATAAATGATCATGAGCAAATTTTCTATAGAAAACTATAGCTGATCAGCAGCAAATTTTCTATAGAAAACTATAGCTGATCAGCAGCAAATTTTCTATAGAAAACTATAGCTGATCAGCAGCAAATTTTCTATAGAAAACTATAGCTGATCAGCAGCAAATTTTCTATAGAAAACTATAGCTGATCAGCAGCAAATTTTCTACAGAAAACTATAGCTGATCATCCGCAAATTTTCTATAGAAAACTATAGCTGATCATCAGCAAATTTTCTATAGAAAACTATAGCTGATCATCAGCAAATTTTCTATAGAAAACTATAGCTGATCATCAGCAAATTTTCTATAGAAAACTATAGCTGATCATCAGCAAATTTTCTATAGAAAACTATAGCTGATCAGCAGCAAATTTTCTATAGAAAACTATAGCTGATCATCAGCAAATTTTCTATAGAAAACTATAGCTGATCATCAGTAAATTTTCTATAGAAAACTATAGCTGATCATCAGAAAATTTTCTATAGAAAACTATAGCTGATCATTAGCAAATTTTCTATAGAAAACTATAAATGATCATGAGCAAATTTCCTATAGAAAACGATAGCTGATCATCAGCAAATTTTCTATAGAAAACTATAGCTGATCATCAGCAAATTTTCTATAGAAAACTATAGCTGATCATCAGCAAATTTTCTATAGAAAACTATAGCTGATCATCAGCAAATTTTCTATAGAAAACTATAGCTGATCATCAGCAAATTTTCTATAGAAAACTATAGCTGATCATCAGCAAATTTTCTATAGAAAACTATAGTTGATCATCAGCAAATTTTCTATAGAAAACTATAGCTGATCAGCAGCAACTGTTCTATAGAAAGCTATAGCTGATCAGCAGCAAATTTTCTATAGAAATCTGCATATGAGCATCAGCAAATTTTCTATAGAAAACTGTAGATGATCATCAGAAAATTTTTATAGAAAACTGTAACTGATCCTCAGCAAATTTTCTATATAAAACTATAGCTGATCATCAGCAAATTTTCTTTAGAAAACTATAGCTGATCATCAGCAAATTTTCTATAGAAAACTATAGCTGATCATCAGCAAATTTTCTATAGAAAACTATAGCTGATCATCAGCAAATTTTCTATAGAAAACTATAGCTGATCATCAGCAAATTTTCTATAGAAAACTATAGCTGATCATCAGCAAATTTTCTATAGAAAACTATAGCTGATCATCAGCAAATTTTCTATAGAAAACTATAGCTGATCATCAGCAAATTTTCTATAGAAAACTATAGCTGATCATCAGCAAATTTTCTATAGAAAACTATAGCTGATCATCAGCAAATTTTCTATAGAAAACTATAGCTGATAAGCAGCAAATGTTCAATAGAAAACAGTGAATGATCGTCAACAAATTTTTTATGTAAAATATTGACCTGTATCAACATAAATTCAATTTTATTATTTCAATATTAAATTCAATTAAAAACATGAAGAAACCAAGCGTGCTAAAGGAAAGTGCTGCAACTTAAGAACACAAGAAACGTGATTTTCAAAATAAACTGTTGAACATATTCAAAATAATCATTTAACTAAAGTAAAAGTAAATTATCTATTATAAACACATGATATTTGGGGCCTATGACAATTTTTTTTGTGGTAAATCACGGTTTTAACATTAAAAAAAGTATTGTGAGTTTTGAAACTTTTTTAGCGAAATAAATTTTTTAACTTATAAAAACTCACAGTAATTTCAAATACATCAAACAGTTCAAAGTGTTTAATCAAAATGTTTAGATCAAAGAAAAGTGTTATAGTTTTATTGATATTTGCCTATATCCATTATTCTCTTCAGGATATATCGCATTTTTTTGCTCAAGCTCCAGAATTTGGTTATTTTCAACATCATCATCATCATTTAGCACCACAACACGGGCATATACCTGTAGGTTTTCAATCGGGCATATCAGCACTTTATGGACCTCCTTCTAATGGTGCGGATTTATCAGGACTTTATCCAAATCCTATAGGGCCTTCGTCAGAAGTGGTGACACCTGCTCCTGTGGCTCCTATTACTACAAGCACTGAATCTCTGTTGCCTGAAATAGTTGAGAATCGCAGTGCGAAAGATCGCAGAAATTTCATACCCTTACTAAAACAATATCTACCTCCCGCACCACCAGTGGCTGATGAAAGACCTAATTATGAAAGTCCACAACAGGGGTAAAGTATTACAGAAATCATCTGATGATTGCATTATATCGTTCTATAAAAAATTTGCTGCTGATCAGCTATAGTTTTCTATAGAAAATTTGCTGCTGATCAGCTATAGTTTTCTATAGAAAATTTGCTGCTGATCAGCTATAGTTTTCTATAAAAAATTTGCTACTGATCAGCTATAGTTTTCTATAGAAAATTTGCTGATGATCAGCTATAGTTTTCTATAGAAAATTTGCTGCTGATCAGCTATAGTTTTCTATAGAAAATTTGCTGATGATCAGCTATAGTTTTCTATAGAAAATTTGCTGCTGATCAGCTATAGTTTTCTATAGAAGATTTGCTGATGATCAGCTATAGTTTTCTATAGAAAATTTGCTGCTGATCAGCTATAGTTTTCTATAGAAAATTTGCTGCTGATCAGCTATACTTTTCTATAGAAAATTTGCTGATGATCAGCTATAGTTTTCTATAGAAAATTTGCTGATGATCAGCTATACTTTTCTATAGAAAATTTGCTGCTGATCAGCTATACTTTTCTATTGAAAATTTGCTGCTGATCAGCTATACTTTTCTATAGAAAATTTGCTGATGATCAGCTATAGTTTTCTATAGGAAATTTGCTGCTGATAAGCTAAAGTTTTCTATAGAAAATTTGCTGCTGATCAGCTACAGTTTTCTAAAGAAAATTTGCTGATGATCAACTACTGTTCTTTTTCCATTTCAGCAACCAACAATATGATCCCTTCAATGGTGGCTATATCTATCAGAAACCTACCACGACTAGCACAACCACTCCCAGACCTGCTCAAGCTATAGTAGTTGTTGATCCACCAGAATTCTTGCCACCCATTAATAATGATCCCATTATACTGCCACCCATTAATAATGACCCCTTTGAACAAGCACCATCACCCGCTCAGGGTTACGATTATCCTAGACCTTCTAACCCCTCTATAGTAGCAGCCGATACACCATTTCAGGAAATCTCTTCTACACCTGCTCCCGCTTACTTACCGCCCTCAAATGGTCAGCAACCATTATCGGTTGTTCAAAGTTCAGACAATGCTATGTCTTTGCGTTTACGAGTCCATGAAATGCGCTGTTTGCAACAGAAACCCCAAGCGAATGGTTATTTTAGGGCGGTTTTAAAAATCGATAATTTCTTAAGTGCCACGCCTACTGTAGATAATGATTCCAGTGATAAACGTTGTGAATTAAAGTTACAGAAAAGTTATGTTGTGGTAGATATAGCGGGTGAAGATTTTCAACGTTGTGGTGTTCAGCAGTGTGGCTCAGATTTATGTTTGCGTTTACGTTTCCCGGCGATAAGGGGCATGCGCACAGGTTCGGATAGTATATTGACTTTACATTGTAAATCTCAGAGTAGAGTAGCGGTTAAGACACATGCCCTTAAAATGGGTGTGGCTAATGATGTGTAAGTTATTTCGAAAGTGATTTTTTGTTTAGGGATTTTATGAAATTTTAAAATTTCAGACAAGCACGCAGTATTGGCACTTATGCCAAGGGCGGTACCCAAAATTCTTTCCGTACTCATGTGGAATTACTTAGGAAGTCACCTCAGGGTTATGCTAGACATTTGCAAGCCAATGAGGCTGTTCAACTGGGAGAGGATTTACTTTTAAGGGCTCATGTCCTAACCGGAGATGGTGGGTATAGTTTTTAAAGAATTTGATTGAAGTACATTGACTTTTCTTCTCTTACAGGTTGGAATTATACCAAACTTTCGGATGTTAGTTTACAAAGAATATCCCCCTCTGGAGAAATACTCAACAATGTGCAATTGATTACTTCCCAGGGCTGTCTTAATCCCTCGATGAAGGGTATTTGCACTCAAACTCCCTCTTTCGATGCTCCACTCGGTTATAAACTTCCTTTTAAGGCAGTAATGTTCCAGGGCATGAGAAGTGGTGATGAATTGATTATGTCAATGCGCATCACTGGCTGTCTGGAGCAACAAGATTGTTATGTAAATACCGAGCAATGCCACAACTTTAATACTTCCAATTTAAAGCGACGCAAACGGGATATGTTGAATTCCACGCCTCATAATAATACAGAAATATCGGAAATATCAAAAATATCTTTTAGAGTTATTATGCCGGGAGAGGAATCATCTGTTCAAGACTATACCCCTGAAAGTTTAAAAGCTCAATCGAAATCCTTGATTCTATTTGGTTCTTTAGGTTTTATAGCTCTGTTAATATGTCTGGGCATTTTTGCTTTATTCAAATCCAAAAAATATTAACTTAAACATTCAAAATTATTGATCGATTCCAAACGATCCTTAAATATATTTTTATTTTCTATTTCTTTCTAATTTCAGCTCACTTTTGCTTAATGAATTTCAGCACTTTTGTTGTTTATTTAATTTAGAAAATATTAATTTATATTAATGTTATAATAAATATTTACAAGATATTTATATCTGTGTCTTTTTTAAAAATTTATGTGTGTAATTTTTTCCAAATCAATCTTTCAAACATGTTAAAGACAACTATTAAACCAAAAATAGTATTACAAAAACGAATAGAAAACAATTGTGCAAGAAATTGGTTGCAACGACTAAATGATCAATCTACAATATTCACAAATTCGAGTCACAAATTTGTATAAAAAACTGTAGCTGTTCCTCAACAAATTTTGTATAATAAACTAAAGCTGATCATCAGCAAACTATAGCTGATCCTCAGCAAATTTTCTACCGAAAACTATAGCTGATCATCATTAAATTTTCCATAGAAAACTATAGCTGATCATCAGCAAATTTTCTACAGAAAACTATAGCTGATCATCAGCAAATTTTCTACAGAAAACTATAGCTGATCATCAGCAAATTTTCTACAGAAAACTATAGCTGATCATCAGCAAATTTTCTACAGAAAACTATAGCTGATCATCAGAAAATTTTCTATAGATAAGTATAGCTGATCAGCAGCAAATTTTCTATAGAAAAGTATAGCTGATCAGCAGCAAATTTTCTATAGAAAAGTATAGCTAATCAGCAGCAAATTTTCTATAGAAAACTATAGCTGATCAGCAGCAAATTTTCTATAGAAAACTATATCTGATCAGCAGCAAATTTTCTATAGAAAACTATATCTGATCCTCAGCAAATTTTCTATAGAAAACTATAGCTGATCATCAGCAAATTTTCTATAGAAAACTATAACTGATCAGCAGCAAAATTTTCTATAGAAAACTATAGCTGATCATCAGCAAATTTTCTATAGAAAACTATAGCTGATCATTAGCAAATTTTCTATAGAAAACTATAGCTGACCATCAGCAAATTTTCTATAGAAAACTATAGCTGATCATCAGCAAATTTTCGTAAGAAAACTATAGCCGATCATAAACAAATTTTCTATAGAAAACTATAGCCGATCATAAACAAATTTTCTATAGAAAACTATAGCTGATCATTAGCAAATTTTCTATAGAAAACTATAGCTGATCATCAGCAAATTTTCTATAGAAAACTATAGCTGATCATCAGGAAATTTTCGTAAGAAAACTATAGCCGATCATCAACAAATTTTCTATAGAAAACTATAGCTGATCATCAGCAAATTTTCGTAAGAAAACTATAGCTGATCATCAGCAAATTTTCTATAGAAAACTATAGCTGATCATCAGCAACTTTTCTATAGAAAACTATAGCTGATCATCAGCAAATTTTCTATAGAAAACTATAGCTGATCATCAGCAAAATTTCTATAGAAAACTATAGCTGATCATCAGCAAATTTTCTATAGAAAACTATAGCTGATCATTAGCAAATTTTCGTAAGAAAACTATAGCCGATCATCAACAAATTTTCTATAGAATACTATAGCTGATCATTAGCAAATTTTCTATAGAATACTATAGCTGATCATCAGCAAATTTTCTATAGAAATCTATAGCTGATCATCAGCAAATTTTCTATAGAAAACTATAGCTGATCATCAGCAAATTTTCTAAAGAAAACTATAGCTGATCATCAGCAAATTTTCTATAGAAAACTGTGGTTGATCATGAGCAAATTTTCTTTAGAAAACTATAGCTGATCATCAGCAAATTTTCTATAGAAAACTATAGCTGATCATCAGCAAATTTTCTATAGAAAACTATAGCTGATCATCAGCAAATTTTCTATAGAAAAATATAGCTGATCATCAGCAAATTTTCGTAAGAAAACTATAGCTGATCATCAGCAAATTTTCTACAGAAAACTATAGCTGATCATCAGAAAATTTTCTACAGAAAACTATAGCTGATCATTAGCAAATTTTCTATAGAAAACTATAGCTGATCATCAGCAAATTTTCTATAGAAAACTATAGCTGATCATCAGCAAATTTTCTATAGAAAACTATAGCCGATCATCAACAAATTTTCTATAGAAAACTATAGCTCATCATCAGCAAATTTTCGTAAGAAAACTATAGCTGATCATCAGCAAATTTTCGTAAGAAAACTACAGCTGATCATCAGCAAATTTTCGTAAGAAAACTATAGCTGATCATCAGCAAATTTTTGTAAGAAAACTATAGCTGATCATCAGCAAATTGTCGTAAGAAAACTATAGCTGAGCATCAGCAAATTTTCATAAGAAAACTATAGCTGATCATCAGCAAATTTTCGTAAGAAAACTATAGCTGATGATCAGCAAATTTTCTATAGAAAACTATAGCTGATCATCAGCAAATTTTCTTTAGAAAACTATAACTGATCATTAGCAAATTTTCTATAGAAAACTATAGCTGATCATCAGCAAATTTTCTAGAGAAAACTATAGCTGATCGTCAGCAAATTTTCTATAGAAAACTATAGCTGATCACCAGCAAATTTTCTATAGAAAACTATAGCTGATCATCAGCAAATTTTCTATAGAAAACTATAGCTGATCATCAGCAAATTTTCTATAGAAAACTATAGCTGATCATCAGCAAATTTTCTAGAGAAAACTATAGCTGATCATCAGCAAATTTTCTATAGAAAACTATAGCTGATCATCAGCAAATTTTCTATAGAAAACTATAGCTGATCATCAGCAAATTTTCTATAGAAAACTATAGCTGATCATCAGCAAATTTTCTATAGAAAACTATAGCTGATCATCAGCAAATTTTCTATAGAAAACTATAGCTGATCATCAGCAAATTTTCTATAGAAAACTATAGCTGATCATTAGCAAATTTTCTATAGAAAACTATAGCTGATCATCAGCAAATTTTCTATAGAAAACTATAGCTGATCATCAGCAAATTTTCTATAGAAAACTATAGCTGATCATCAGCAAGTTTTCTAAAGAATTTTGTGGCAAATTTTCTTGTTTTGATTATGCCCATTATAGGGAAACATTTTTGGACAAGTGTTTACAAATCACTGAAAAAAAGTGATTGCCATAAATAACAATTTTCAATTCATGTTTATGTTCGCGATAAGAAGTGAACATGTCATAAATTTTGTGCCATACATATGAGTCTATATATTTTATGGCAAAAATAATGTTTAAAATAATGAATTCTTTAAATTTTTAATGATCTTCAGCTTAGAAAACTTGGCAAATCTTAAAAATATAGAGTTTCAAATTTCTGCACAAATTGATCACCAAATCAATTGGGTAACACTTCTAAACCAATAGTTTTAATGTTATTAAATACTTGTAATAAACTTACGCACAAGTTTGTTAATGAGATTTACAAATGATCAAATAAATTTTTTAACAAGTTTAAAAAGGGATGCCAAATGTAATAAATAATAAAATGATCAGATTTTAAAGTGTTGAAAATGAATTGATGATAAATTGTAATAAAATAAAAGAACTAGTCACTACAGCAGTTCTTTATCTATACAAATGTGGCTACTAAATAATATAGTTTACTTGGCAACTCTTTTTATAAATATTTAAGTAAATTATTGTTGTTTATCGTTGCTTGTATTTTCCTTTCAAGACATTTCAAAATTACTTTTTACATTCGGTCAACAATTACAATTGACCAATGAAAATCATTAGAATTCGAATGTTATTTAATGAAACTAGACAAATTTAGTTTAAATTTAATTTAGTTTTAAAATTTAACACATTAACAGACGCGCTCACTTAAATCACAAATAACACGCTCTCAAAATAGGCGGTATTTTTCAAAACAAACATTTTTACGTTTCAAACTTTAAAATTATTTTATAAATTAAACAGCTACACCATTTCCAAAATTTCCAATAGTAAATTTGATAAGATCATTGACAAGTATTCTATGGAAAATTAGCTGAGGATCAGTTACAGCTGCTATAGAAATTTTTCAGAAGATCAGCTATAGTTTTCTATTGAAAATTTGCTAATGATCAGTTACAGTTTTCCATAGAAAATTTGCTAATGGTCAGTTACAGTTTTCTATAGAAAATTTGCTGAGGATCAGCTATAGTTTTCTATAGAAAATTCGCTGAGGATCAGCTATAGTTTTCTATAGAAAATTTGCTTAGGATCAGCTATAGTTTTCTATAGAAAATTTGCTGATGATCAGCTATAGTTTTCTATAGAAAATTTGCTAATGATCAGTTCCAGTTTTCTATAGAAAATTTGCTGAGGATCAGCTATAGTTTTCTATAGAAAATTCGCTGAGGATCAGCTATAGTTTTCTATAGAAAATTTGCTGATGATCAGCTATAGTTTTCTATAGAAAATTTGCTGATGATCAGCTATAGTTTTCTATAGAAAATTTGCTGATGATCAGCTATAGTTTTCTATAGAAAATTTGCTGATGATCAGCTATAGTTTTCTATAGAAAATTTGCTGAGGATCAGTTACAGTTTTTATAGAAAATTTGCTGAAGATCAGCTATAGTTTTCTATGAAAAATTTGTTTAAGATCAGTTATATTTTTCTATAGAAAATTTGCTGAGGATCAGTTATAGTTTTCTATAGAAAATTTGCTGGTGATCAATTACAGTATTCTATAGAAAATTTGCTGAGGATCAGTTAAAGTTTTCTATAGAAAATTTGCTGATGATCAGCTATAGTTTTCTATAGAAAACTTGCTGATGATCAGCTATAGTTTTCTATAGAAAATTTGCTTAGGATCAGCTATAGTTTTCTATAGAAAATTTGCTAATGATCAGTTACAGTTTTCTATAGAAAATTTGCTGAGGATCAGTATAGTTTTCTATAGAAAATTTGCTGTGGATCAGTATAGTTTTCTATAGAAAATTTGCTGAGGATCAGTATAGTTTTCTATAGAAAATTTGCTGAGGATCAGTATAGTTTTCTATAGAAAATTTGCTTAGGATCAGCTATAGTTTTCTATAGAAAATTTGCTAATGATCAGTTACAGTTT